TACCTGGAGTTGGAAGTAGTACACACCTAAATTTCATCTCTGGGTATATTTTCCTCTGTCTGAACTCTGCCCCTCAGTGGTCTCATAGCCTTATGGCTTTTGTTAGCATTTATGTGCAAATTCCCCCAGCCTTGTCTTCCTCACTGAGTTCCAATTTTACCTGAATTATTCCAGCAGCCTTGTAGCTAGCCTTTCTACTTTACTTCCTCAGGAGAGAATCAGGGGGATCTTTTAAAGGCACATTTAATCTTGCTACTTTGCAATTTAAGGTTATTCCTGTGGCCTATGGGGCCCTCTGCTTCTGTCGTGTTGAGCTTCTTTTGATGATGTGAACACGCTCTCCTCACTCATCTCTCAGGGCCTTTTAAACATGGTTTTCCTCTGCTTGGGCCACTCTGCCCACAGACCCCCGCATGGCTGCTTCTCACCATTCAGCTCTTTGCTCCAAGTTTACCCCTTCTGACAGTTCTTCTCTAAGTGTCCAATTGAATTACACTCTTGTGCCTGCCTTTCTTTTTCATATCACCTGGTTTTATTTTCTTCAAAGCGCTTCTCACTTTGTAGGGTTATTCCTCTGCTTGTGTGCTTGCGTGTCCGTCTCCTCCCTCTAGAGGGAGCACAACAGCTGAGCACATTGACTGCTTGTGCCTTTTTTTTTTGAGACAGAGTTACGCTCTTGTGACCCAGGCTGGAGTGCAGTGGCACAATCGTGGCTCACTGCAACCTCCGCCTCCTGGGTTCAAGCAATTCTCCTGCCTCAGCTTCCCGAGTAGCTGGGACTACAGGCGCGTGCCACCATGCCCAGCTAATTTTTTGTGTTTTTAGCAGAGACGGGGTTTCACCATGTTGATCAGGATGGTCTCGATCTCTTGACCTCGTGATCCACCCGCCTCAGCCAATTTTTTTTACTTTAGTAGAGATGGGGTTTCACTAGTTTCGCCCAGGCTGGTCTTGAACTCCTGGCCTTAAGTGATCTGCCTGCCTTAGACTCCCAAAGTGCCGGGATTACAGGCCCACGCCACCATGCCCAGCTAATTTTTGTATTTTTAGTAAAGACGGGGTTTCACCTTGTGCTTGTGCCTCTTTTACCCCAGTGTCCCTGGTGCTGGGAACCTCTGCCAGACACAAGGCAGGATTGAATGGGTCATCCAAGGCAGTTAGTGGTGGTTTTACTAACTTTCGTGTTATTTATATGAAACATAATGTACTCAAATATCAATGGGCAATCCCTATTCTCAACTTTGGTGATTTAGTCAATAAATGTAAGTATGAATCTTCTAGCTCAATTTTTTCTGGCATTATAGATTTTGATTTTTTTTTCAGTCCTTGGATTTTAGGTGATTGTAGTTCCCCATGTTATTTCAGATGCATTTTTTGGGTATCTTTTCTAGTTCTACTGTATCTCTACTGATGTTAAGCCGTCAGAAATACCCGCAGGATTTTTTTTTTCTTCCAGTTTTCATCCTAGCAATGCCTGAAACTTTAACCATATTTTTGGGTGCAGTGCCATAGTTTGGGTCAACATCATTCAAATAAATAATCTTAGGTTATTCTTAGATAGTTTTATGGGAAGATGACTAATAGCTCAGACAAACTTTCCTGGCTGGTCTAAAAACTTCTCACTAATCCTGTGCCCGTTTGAAAATTAGTTATTTCCTTAAAACTTAGATGTTTGGAAACTTGGAGAAGTTTCTGTAACCTGTATACTTGGGAATTTCAGGGTGCTTTCTGCCTAATGCATTGTGGAGAGGTTTTAATGATACTGGTTTTCACACCACATCCTGAGGAACATTTCACAGTACATTTCTTCATTGAAAGGTGTACCTATTTATCTTGATTGTGCTTACTTCTTCTAAACCATCTTTCTGTCTTTAAAATACTGATGATCAGGCCCCATATGCAGCCTTACATGCAGCTTTTTGTCAAAGGCTACCATTTGTAACAAGTATGTATTTGTTTTGTCTTTGGAATTCCATTCAGGGTGTTACTAGATGTTGCTTTAATCACTATTTTCTGCTTTACCTTAATGTGCCAAAAATGATAGCCTTCCTTGTTTTCTTCTAGGGGATTTTCAGTTTTCAAAAAAATCTTTTTTTGTGTGTGTTATTTTTATGAGCACGTGGAATTTTTTTCCTAAGCACACTGCCAGATGTCTAAAGAGTACTTAATACATATTTATTGAATGAATATTGAGCAAAGGCACACACACTCTTTTAAAAAAAATCTTTGACATTTAAAAAATCATTTGTGAATAATGTATCCTTAAATAGCATATCTTGAATGTCTCTAAGTTGCTAACATTCTTAATTTCTAACTACCTTTTAGATTTTGCCATAGTTCTGTTCTCAAACTGATGGTTTTCTTAGATCCTGCTTTCCCACCAAGATGTTGAATTTAATTTTATTTTGATGACTATGACTTAATGGCTCCCCAACAAACATCTCTAAACCAATTCCTGTTCATCTATTGAGACCCAGGCTGATTTATTTCTTTTTCATGTGAGTTTCTTAGCTACATGTTCTTAGAAATAATGTTTTAATCTATGTGAAAATATGCATCTGCATATCTCAGCTAAAGAATGCATTTTACTAATGTCCTTGGTTAAGGTAAACACATTTTTATTCTCTGGAACATTTAATATTCATATTCTTAGTTTTATCTTACTGGCTGGATGATCCATAGAATGGTTTATCAGTTAACTATGTGATTATTGAATTTTTACATGAACTTCATAATAATATGATTTCTGGAAAGGCTCTTACCCTATTTTGCTGGCGTTTATAAAGGGCAGTGTGATGTCTCCCTATTCTCACCTTTGCTAAAGCCTTTGCTTATTCTCATGACACTGGATTTATACATTGCTGATTCTAGCAAGGCAGATGACCCCTTGAAATCCTTGCCAAATAATTAAGCCTATTCACTTTGCTTATGAGGCTCCTAGGATTCGTGCAGAAGCTTACATAATATGGCTTGCTGTTTTGATCTTTTCTCACTAATTTTTTTTGTATTTATTCATTGAACATTTATTACATGCTCATTAGCTACAAAGCACATTTTCAGTTTCTCAGGGATTTGAAAGGTAAATGAGAGGCAAGCTGTGCTTTCAAGGAATTTATAGTCTAGTGAGAAAGCTGCTATATAAAAAACCCAGTACACGAAGTAGCTACAATTAAAAGCAGAATAAATGGTAATACTAACAAAATAGGAGACAAAGGAAAAATTTCAAAGCAGTATCCTGGAGAAAGTGGCACTTGAATTTTACTTTCAAAGATGAACAGAGCAAGTAGAGATGAAAAGGACTTTGAACAAAAGCCTGGGCCAGAAGAATCATAGATGTACAAGTAGAAAATGACATGACAGTCACATTGGTGGAGGGCATGTTGTGTGAAGGGGCATAGCTAGAGACAAGTTTTAGAAAATGTTTTGGGTTAGGGTGTAGAGAGTACCACATACTATGGTTTTGGACTTGTTGGTAGGCAGCAGAGAAAAAAGAATGCTATTCAAAGACATGTACTTTATTACTATTAAAAGAAACTACCAATTACTGTGTGCCTAATCTATATTAGGCATTAAGCGAGATGTTTTGTATCTCACCTGCACAGTAAAGCTGAAAGGATAAGTGATATTACTCCCATTTTGCAGATGAAGAGTATGAAACTCCAAGAAAGAGATCAATCTAGCAAGGTTGCAAAATGTGGATTACAAAGGATTGGGACAAAAATTTACAGTATAGTTAACTGAATATACACTTTTGTCTCTTCATCCCATTTCAGTGTTCTAAAATTGACCCAGAAGATGTTTGTTTTAAATTCTCATTCATGCTGGCAAATTGGATTATAAACTATGAGGGATACCTGAAAAGTGAAAGGCAGTGGTGATTGCATCAAAGAAAGAAACTATGGCCCCAAATGCCCATTGGAAAGGCATGCGCCAAAAAAGGAGAGCTCAGGTGGTGACCTGAGCCTGTAGAGGCAGATCCAGCCCTAGGGGTGGGGCTGAAGTAAGTACCAGAATGGCTGATCAATGTGTTTCAGTAAGAGTAGCCAAGGATCTACACCTACTGCCATTGCTCTCTGGGCTGGGCAGTGACAACTGAGTCCGTAGCAGAAAGGAGAAGATAGTGAGCATGGCAGCCCCCAAGGAGGAACAGAAGGCGCCTTGCCCAGAAGAGCCACAGGTACACCCCACGAGTTAAAGTATAGCTAGCTCTCCTTCACAGTTTATAGTTGTAAACAGATGAAATATTCACAGAGGGGCTAAAATGGGATCTTAAATAAAAAGGTAGGTCTATAGGCAAAAATTAACAAGCATTGACGGGAACCAACTCCACTTAAAAAATTACCAAATTCAACAGGAGAATTTTCTGTGACTACACCCTACATTTTTTTCTGTACCAATCTTCTGGTTTTATCGTTTTCTACAACCTGCCAGTATTACTGACCCCAAATGCAATTGACTGTTCTCTTGAATGCACCTCCTCCTTTGTTTTTACTGCATGAGCCCCAACTTTATCTCTCTCACATCTATTGCTGATATCTCTAATTTATACCATGTGAATGTTGATATTTACCTACAGCTATATACAGACCTATGTATAGTCCCACTTAAATCAAACACTGAAAAAGTTGTAACAAACTTTGGGGAGGAGTTTTAGAACATCAAGACTCAAACTTACTCTTACTTTTGAAGGCAGCAAGACCAGCTAGTTAAGTTTTTGAGGCTATGGTATGTGTTACTGTTTAAGCATATTTTCCAAGGGATTTTGGACATATACTTGTGAAGAATAAATGTTCACAGTGACGAATCTTGTTTTAATTAACACCAGAGAAAATAACAGTGGTTGACACAACAAACTACTTTCAGGTTTTCTTTTTTAAACTGTGTCAGTTGCCAGTTAGAAGGCTGTGAGAACAGCATACATTCATCATCTGGCACCCCCCCCTTCACCTCGAAGAGTGAACTCGCTAGTTATTCAAAGATGACATATGCACAATACTCACATTTTGTAGCCATTAAATTTTCAAAAGACTGGGCCCACTGTAACACTTCCTCCAAAGTAAGCCTTTGAAAAGAAACAAAAAGCACTGTTTCGGCTAAATATTCTCAAGGTTTTTGTTGAACTAAATAAAATTATATTATCTTGAAAATGACACCAAAATATATTCACATTCCATTCGTGTGTGGTTTTGGTTGGAAAGCTATCTTCCTATGATATTTTACATGTTATCTTTCCTATTTAAATTATAAAAATTATGAAATAGTATAGACTTGAAAATATAGTTGAATAACTATTATACAGAGCCATAGTCCTATAATCTCCCTATTAACAAATTACCACTATTAGTATTTCGATGTGGTTTTTAAAAGTCTTCTTTGTGTTTGTATTTGTATATTTGTTATGTTGGTGTTTGTGTGTTTTTAATCAAGACGTAATCACACTCTTTAATGTGTGTATGTATACTTTGTGTGTGTATACTCTCACTTAGCATTTTATGTCATCACGATTGTCTTAATCATTTATAGTGTTATAATTTATAATTACAAATATATAATCATTGATAGCCATATTGCTTATAGTGATGGGGAAATATGCTAGAAGGGGGCATTCCATAGTTCACATAATTGTTCTCAAACAGCATATTGATTTTTCTCTCGTTTTTCACCATTAAAACACAAATGTAGCCCTGCTGTGTTTAAGGTTTGCCATGGCCACATGGTTAGAGTAATTCAAGGACACTAGCAGAAGTAGAATCAAAGTTGGTTAAAAAAGGCACATTTTTAAGGTTTTTGGCACAAATTGCCAAATTGCTTTTTAAAAGGTTGTGTGCTGTTTGCTGTTGCAACCAGCCAAGTGTTTACCTATTTATCTATTAGAATCTTAGAGTTAACCCACAAAGCCTATTTGTATGCACTCACATAATATAATTAGTAACCCTAAAGCTAGTATTTTCTCAGTTTCTTATTTTCTAGAATTATTTTTCTATCAGTTTTAATTTTTATTAAGGTGTATGATGTCAATTTACATTTGACCTAAACAGTATAAACAAAGCCATTTACCATTTAGAAAATAGTTGTGAAAGATTCTGGAATTCTGTTCATTTTGGTGAGCTTCATGAGGTGAACCGGCAAATGACTGTATTCTCAAATACAAATAACTTTATACACTATGGAATACTATGCAGCCATAAAAAGGAACAAGATCATGTCCTTTGTAGGGACATGGCTGGAGCTGGAGGCCCGTACCCTCAGCAAACTAATGCAGAAACAGAAAACCAAATGCTGCCTGTTCTCACTTATAAGTGGGAGCTGAATGCTGAGAACATATGGACACATAGGGGAGAACAATACACACTGGGGCCTGTTGTAGGGTCGGGTGTGGGAGGAGGGAGAGCATCAGGAATAATTAATGCTGGCCTATGGCTCTCTGGGTGCCTTTATTAGAATTACTTGAAACACCTTTTCTCCTGATACAAGTCCTCGTTGGTGTTCCTTCCATTCTTCTGGGCAGATGGGCAGTGGTACCACACAGATATGAAAGCATTTTAAGACACCATGATGGATGCTGGGCTTAATAACCTAGGTGATGGGATGATCTGTGCAGCAAACCATCATGACACGCAGCTGACCTATGTGACAAACCTGCACATCTGCACATGTACTTCTGAACTTAAAAGTTGGAAAAAAAAAAAAAAAGAAATAACCAAAATGTTTATTGTCATTCAATTTATGGTGCATTCTTAATTGTCCCACTTTCAACAACTAATTAAAGATGGCGATAGGCAGATGCAGGCACTGTCCATTGGCTATACCTGTTAGAGTCAGCCTAAAAATTAGTGCTTCTGGAACAGCCATTAGCATTAGCACGCTGCTAACACAGTGAAGGAGGATTAATTAAAGCAATTAAAAGTATCCTAGAACATGGAAAAATATTGGCAGTCTTTAAAGGTCAGGTATCTTTTGTTTTCCAAAAAATCAGATGAATCCTGCCAGTTTTGGATGGACTGCTTGCATCACTGCGGAGGCTTAACAGTGTCCTGTGTTAAGATTACTTTCAAAAAACATTTCCATGAAATGATATCTGAGTCATTGTTCTTTTGTTAGAACTTTAGAAAAAGTAACCTAAAATAACCTTTTCAATCTAGTGAAATGGAGAGCGAGGCAAGGTTTACTGCATGCTTGTTTGTTCTAATCATTCCTATTATATAGAGAAGAATAAAATCTACAACACGAGTGAAGAGTCGTTGGTGTGTTGGGTTAGCTTAAAATTAAGGGTCGATAATTGTTGGTAAGAGAATTATTCTGTTTCTAAAACTCATGAGATTTATGGGGAGAGATTATTGGAGTAATTATGGTTGGGAGTAAAGATGGGAAATAGAATTACGTTTTTAACTAAACCCCATTTTTGCTTATAATTTTTTTCTGAGGATCTCACAAGTTTAATGCTGGCCTATGGCTCTCCAGGTGCCTTTATTAGAATTATTTGAAATGCCTTTTTTCCTGATAGAAGTTCTCCTTTGTGTTCCCTCCATTCTTCTGGGCAGATGGGCAGTGGATACCACACAGATATGAAAGCACTTTAAGACACCATGTTGTTGCAGACAAAGGAATGAAGAAAGTTTGGAGTCTCTGAGACTCCCAGGTTCTAATCCCAGTGCTGTACTTACTGTTCTTGGTCTTACTTAAAATCTCCAAACCCCAATTTTATTGTCTATAAAATGGGGGATAATAATGTTTCTCTTGCAGTGTTATCATGAAAATTAAATTAGGTCAGGAATGCCAAGCATCTATTAAATAACTTTTATCTGTTAAATAACTGTTGTCTGGCAGCTTTCCATTAATAAGATTTTTGTTTTTTTGGTCTTCCCCCTTTCTCACAGTGAGTCTATAAGGCAGGTAGAAGAAGTGCAAGCTCTGACAGTGATATTCTGTGGGAATCATTAGAAGAGAGAAGAGCTGTCCCTTAATTTGCAGGTTATATCTTTGTCCTTGGATGTACCTGTGTAGTGCAGTAGCCTTCACTGGTCATTAAAAATGCTGAGCTTTGGGTCTTACTATCTCCCCTGCCCACCTTCTCCTCCTCCCTGCCACGCAGCAGCTTGTAAGCCTTTGTGGACATTTTGGTACTTGAGTGAAGCATGCCAGGGGCTCTGACCATACAGAAAGGTGTGGCCAGGACTGAGGGCTGCACATGGCTTAGGTTAGGCACTCATGGTTAGTCTAACAGGGGTTCTCAACTCTGGGATTCGCTGAGGTGAGCAAGTCCCATGCAATGGCCTGTTCCTCTTCTCAGGCAGTATTCTGTTCACTGTTCCCATCCAAATGGTGCATTTTGAGTTATGGCAAAGTATGGAGGAAGAGACTTGGGAGTTTAGCAAACATTTGATTCCTCCTTCAGTCTCACCTTTATCTCGGGATGAAGCTTCCTGGCATTTCGTATGTGGAGGGTTGGAACCAAGAGAATATTTTGGGATGAAGAATCTCATTTTAACACAAACAATATTCTTTGTTTTTTAAAAAGAACAGAGACTATTCATAATAGATTCTAAGTGTAAAACACAAATAATGAAAACAGAATCTTAGTAACACATGACTGCTCTTCTGGTGAAGTGGCTCATGTAAATGCAAATTTTACTTTCTGAACAAAATATGTTATAATAGTTTCATAAATATATACCTATTTATCATCTGATAAATATGCTTTACAATGACCATAGAAACTTAAATGCTACTTACTTTGAAGGGGGCCTCTTAGATTCGTCTCTGCCCATCTTACAGAGCCAACAAATCTGCCTGCTCATTTTTCTAAGGAAATATAGTACATATTTGTATAATTTAGTCATTTAAAATAATTACATGTTAGAGTCAGTTTTTAAGGAATATACAGTATTATAAATAATTTAAAAATAAGGATGAGTTCTTGAAGTTAATGGAATACAATCAGTGGGAGAGTAGAGAGGAGAATAAAATGAGTCATTTCTCATAAATATTTTGTAAAAATATACATGCTTAGGTTTGTAAATGACATTACTTATCTGGCCTAACTATTTATCAAACAATTAGGTTTAAAAAACATCAGTGTTTGAAAAAGATCTTTTCATTTAGAGGCTGTTAATAATGAATTCATCAACTCCCAAGGCTTTTCTTTTGGGACAATTCTTATTTTTATCTTTTTGAGACAGGGTCTCACACCGTCACCCAGGTTGGAGTGCAGTAGCATGATCATGGCTCACTGCAGTCTTCACATCCCTGGTCTTAGGTGACCCTCCCACCTCAGCCTCCCGAGTAGCTGGGACTACAGGCATGCGCCACCGTGTCTAGCTAATTTGTGTGTTTTTGGTAGAGAAGGGGTTTCACCACATTGCCCAGGTTGGTCTCGAACTCCTGGGCCCAAGCAACCTGCCTGCTTCAGCTTCCTGAACTGCTGGGATTACAGGCATGAGCCCCTGTGCCCAGCCACAATTCTTATTTTTAGAAAGCTCCCTCAATATATTAAAAAAAAAGAATTAGCCTCATTTTAACTGGACAAGTAAAATAGTGTAAACAGCCAAATAAAAAAACTGCGTTCTGAGTGAGTTCTAAGAAGGGTGTTGCTTATCTTTTTTTATCTACTCTGAGCACAGGGACTTTGACTTTAAAATCCAGTTAGAGTTTATTCATCCCAGACATGTTTACATAACAATACATGTTATAGAAGGTTTTTAACTCAGGACTTCCAGAAAACAACTCACAGATTTGTTAAGAGTTATTCAATCCACATTTTAAAGCTGGAAATGGTTTGCTAAACATATATACACACATATATAATGAATTATTAAGGATAAAAATTTTTCTTAATAAATAATTAAGGATCATTATTAAGGATATACGACTTTTTATATCAGCCTTTATGGTTCATTCAAAACGTCTGTTGAGTACTTGCTATCTGCCAAGTTCTGGCTGCCTGTGGTCGGTATACACCTTGTCTCTCCTCTTCCTGTCCTCGCTGACGAGCAGTTAAAATACACGTGGTGAGCTAGGTATAGTGGTTGATGCCTATAATCCCAGGACTTTGGGAGGTGAAGGGGTAGGATTACTTGAGCCCAGGAGTTCTAGAAGAGCCTGGGCAACATGGTGAAATTCTGTCTCTACAAAAATAAAAAACGTGAGCTGGTTATGTTGACTGGTGCCTGTAGTCCCAGCTGCTTGGGAGGCTGTGGTGGGAGAATCACTTGAGCCGAGGAGATGGAGGCTGTAGTAAGCTGTGATTGCACCACGATGCCGTAGCCTGGGTCACAGAGTGAGACCCTGTCTCAAAAACAAAAAATCCCCAAAATATGATGGGAACTTGGATACAGGAAGTGCAGGGGCCGTGAATACACACAGAAGGAGAACCTAACTAGGCTTGAGGGTTAGTGAAGGCAGCCCAGTCAAGCAATGTCTGAGCTGAAACCAGCAGGTTACGCAAGAGCATGCTGAGGAAAGGAGGGGCAACTTGAGCAAAGGATCGGGGCAGTGAGTCATGTTCCACTGAGGACTTAAAAGGAATTTAGGTTGAGCACTGGGGCTCAGGCCTGCAATCCCAACACTTTGCAAGGCTGAGGCAGGAGGATCTCTTGAGCCCAGGAGTTTGAGACCATCCTGGGCAGCATAGAGAGACCCTGTCTCTACAAGGCAGACAAACACACACAAAAATTAGCTGGGCATGGTGGTGTGCACTTGTAGTCCCAGCTACTCAGGAGGCTGAGGTGGGAGGAGGTTGAGCTCAGGGGGTTGAGGCTGCAGTGAGCCATGATCATACCATTGCACTCCAGCCTGGGTGACAGAGCTGTCTCAAAAAAAGAAAAAAGGAATTATATTACCATGAATTTACAGTGTGGCAGACAGAATGAGAGAGACAGCCAAGAGGCTTAAAGAGTTATGACTGAACCAGTAATCATGTTTAAAAATGTTTATTGCAGCAAGAAAGTGGTGGGAGAACTTGTAATGCTGGGCAGAGGCTGAGCATGTTAAGCCATCCAGGCTGTAGATTTCACAGTAAGGAGCTGGGAAATCATTGCAGGATTTAAAATTCAGAATAGACATGATAAGATGTGAAACGGGTTTGTGAGTAGAATGAATTGCTTTGTGGCAAGAGTGGCATCAGGGAGACCAGTTAGGGGGTGACTGCAGGAGTTCAGGTGAGGAACGGCTAGGAAGATGGCAGTGGAGATGAAGGGAAGGAGAGACATTTTAGACATGTTGGAGGAGGAACTATTAGAATTTGTTGACCCATTGGATATGGAAGGTGAGACAGAAAGAGAAGAAATTGAGGTGAGAGATTTGGCTTCAAGATAAAGGTGGGCTATTTTCACAAAACTCATAAGAGGAGCCAAAAAAAGAAAAAAAAAAAAAGATGAGATGGTCCAGGAAGAGAATGTGAACTGTGAAAAGCAGGCAGCCCACTATAAGCTCCTGAACACAAACCTTTAAGAGAAAGACTGTGAAAAAGGAGTTGGTGTCAGAATAACACAGCATCACTGAAACCAAGGAATGAGTTTGTTGAAAAGGAAAGAGTGACCAATTGAGTGTGAAAAGCTGGGAAGAGCTTAAGAGAGTAAAGGAGGAAAAAATGTCACATTTGTTCCCAGGATGCTTGTTAATGACCTTGCTGAGAGTGGTTTCCGCAGAGCAGGGAGGACAGAAACAAGAAGGAAGGAAACAAGAGAAAATGAAGCCCAGAACAAATGAAAGGCTGCTTGTAATTTTTCAGTTTGCCCTCCCTCCCTCTCCTCTTTCCTCCCTGCTTTCCTCTTTTACTTCCTTCCTCCCTTTTCCCTTCTCTCTCTCATTCTCTCTCTCTCTCTCTCCCTCCACCCTCCCTCCCCTACTCCCTCCCTCCCTTCCACCCTCCCTCCCTCCCTCTTTCCTTCCTTCCTTCCTTTTCTTCCTTCCTTCCTTCCTTCCTTCCTTCCTTCCTTCCTTCCTTCCTTCCTTCCTTCCTTTTCTTCCTTTCTCTCTCTTTCTTTCTTGAAAGATGTTGATAGATACAATAATGACAGAGAGGCAGGACTCTTGTCATTTGATCATTCTGGCCTGCATATGTCTCTAGGAGGCATTGTTACAATAAAGTCATTACAATGTGAGTGACTCTAAAGTTGGCAAAAGGTAACCATAGACAGAGGTTGAAAACACAAAAGAAAGAAGGAGAATCAATAGAATTTCAGGTTCCTGAAGAAGGAGGAGGAGCTACAATTCAGAATGTGGGAGTTGAGATATTGGAGAAGTGGAAATGCAGGAAATAGTTACTATTTCTTTGTTAACTAGTGAAAGTATAGGTGTAGATTCAAGTTCATTTGCAGGTTTGGAGATAAGAGCATATGGGAAATGTAGTCTGATGGACTTCATTTTCTATGTGGGTCTTTACTGTAAGTGAGGAAGACCAAGATACAAGAAAGTTATGTATATCTATAGGAAGGAACACAATGGAAGGGGAGTAGGTGAATTCATATTAGGACTCTTCCGATTGCACATACAGATTAACATTACTTCAGCAAAAGGGAGAGTTTATTAAAGGGGTATGTTTGTGTGTGTAGCTAGGTTCTAGATGACCTTAAATATGAGACTAAAGATGTTAGATTATTTTGTTAGAAGGAATCCACTGAGGTCTTTTAATAACAGTGTGATGAAAATAAAAACTTTTTCTAGAAAGATAACTCTGCCTGAAAATGATTAACACTGAAATGTTACATTGACTGGCTGTCAGTAGCTGGTCCAATGTGTAATTGGACCTTGAACTACATTTGTTCAAATTTCAAGCTACATTAGTTCAAGTTTCAAGATTCCTCATCTCTGTGATCACCCATATAATCTAGTTACACAATGGCTCGAAGCTTATCTTCTAAGTAAAAGATGGAAAAAATGTACTTCCTTCATATGTCTTCTCTGTAGGTATAATTAGTCATCCCTGTCTTCTACTGACACTTGACTTCTTCCTTACCCTCTATTTTTAACAATAGTTTTTGTCTCCCACTGCCTTCTCACTTGATCTATTGGAGCTATGTGTACACATTTTCAGACCTTTTTTGTGTGGTGATTCCTGTAACTCAAATGTATGTCTATTAACAGGTTATCATATTTTCTTTTATAAATTTAATGAAATTGGCAAAAGCAGAACGGTTTTAGTATGCTGCACTCACTAAGGTCAGAAGTACAGTGAAGGTAAAGCAATTTCTGGAAGTTGCACTAGAGCTTAGGGGGTTCCCACAGCTCCTGTGAGTTGGCAGGGTATATTCAAATCGCTCTGGGGTTTGAAGCCAGACAGACATGTGCTTGAGTCCAGGCTCTTATTAGCTGTGTGACCTCAGGCATATTAAGTAAACCTCAGATTCTCATTTTGGAGGAAGAACTCATTTCCTTTTCCTTTTCTCTAAAATAGAACTGTAAAGATTAGAAAAATTGCATGTATGCAAAAATTTTCTGTTTCTTTATATTTGATTTTCCTTCAGGTACTTGCATAGTGCCACTCAGGAAATAGTCCTAAGTTCTTTTGTATGTACCAGGAAACACATATTCTGTTAGACTGCATTTTTTCCTCTTTTTAAATTTCATCTCAGATCTCAAAAGTTTTTCCCATTAACTTTATTCATTCTTCAACATGTCAACATATAATCTGCAAATCCTCCTTCTCTGAATTTTTATTGTTCCTGTGTTTCTATATTTCTGTTGTTCACACATTATAGCAGTGGCTGAGTCCCAGCTTTAGAATTAGTTGGGTCTACAACAGTGATTCACAGACATCTGGCTGTGTGAATGTATCACATTGATGGGTCGGGGCTGCCAGAGAGCCTAGGGATGTTTGGGTGTTACAGAAAAAAGGGACAAGAAGATAGCCCAGCCACAGCTTCCCTTTAAATCCAGTTACTCAGGTTGTTCTCTCTATGGAGATGCCTGGTCCAAAAGGAGAAAGAAGGCCGAGATCCACCCAGACTCCCCTTGCCAAGTGTGGAGCCAAGTGGGGCTTCCTCCACGTGGTGAAAAGGCTACTCTTTAATAATTCCAGTCAAGACTCTTTGTGGACTAACAGCAGCACTGTGCTCAGCTACATGACTGATTCAGTGGAAGTTCCTTGGTCAAAGCCACTTATTAGGTGACATTGAAAAAGAAGTAATACATATATAATGTTATTTATGTTTCTGACTTATCTGCTGCTGTGAGACTTTAAGTTCCCTAAATTGTTACATTAGAATGTGATTTGATAATTACATATAAGCAGTTGTTTATATGTTGGTTAGCATTCTAAGTCAAACAAATTTATTAAATTATGGGATACAAATAGATATGTCATAAAAGCATCAATGATTAAGTTGCAGAAAATATTTAGTGACAGAATTGTGTATGAGATGTGTTATGCACAGAACAAATAGACCATAAGAAGTTCTCTGCTGTTCCTGCCCTTTAGGATATGGGACTGGAGACTGGACACTGTCCCAGTGACTACTCCAGTCCCCAGAGCCTGGTGCCTTCCCACCTATATTCTAAGATTTCTAGGACTGAAAATCCATCCACATGTCTGCGTTTCTTTCTATTGATTACACTGGATTCATAAACAGCATGTACCAGGACTTTGTGGAATATCACAGAACCCCCCACTCAGCATCCTTATAATTCTCTTCACGTTGAAACTAAGAGACAAATTCATGAATATTTAACCCAGCTTCAGGTAAGAAAGTTCAGATTGACCGCCTGAGTTTATTATCTCTTCCAACCAAAGCACTAATAATATTTTAGTAAAGGAACATGCAAGACTTAAACCTGAAGGAAAAAGGAGATTAAACAATGAGAAAAAAAAATGACAAAATATTCCAAAGATGAAAGGCAGATGCTCAGAAGTAGAAATTAAAATTCTCATACCTCTAAAATGAGAAGAGAAAAGGCAGCCTTGGAATATCATCTGACAAAATTAGAAAATATAATCCACAGTTTGAGGATGAGTAATTTGCAAAATAACCAGTGGCTTAAAAAGAAGTATCTGTAATCCTGCATTCAACAATATTTATCATTAAATAACACATCTTAATCGACAGTTTAATAACACCAATATAGAGTGGTAGAATGAAATCCTCTCACATTTACAATTGAGAACTTCTAAAGAAATATTTTGGTAATTCCATAAAGGCTACATTCTAATTTTTTTTTTTTACAAAAGTCATGTTCTTTAGGATAAGATTTCATTAAAACATCCTATTGATAAATTTATTTTGTTTATTAGTTAAATCCAACCAAGGGCATCTTTAGTTATACCCTTCAAAATAGTCAACACTGATAAAAATAAAAATTAATGACTGGATGCAGTGGCTCACTCCTGTAATCCCAGCACTTTGGGAGGCTGAGGTGGTGGCTCATGAGGTTAGGAGTTCGAGAGCACCCTGACCAACATGGTGAAACCCCATCTCTACTAAAAATACAAAAATTAGCTGGGCATGGTGGTGCGTGCCTGTAATCCCAGCTACTCAGGACGCTGAGGCAGGAGAATAGCTTAAACCCGGGAGGTGGCTGTTGCGGTGAGCCAAGATGGTGCCATTGCACTCCAGCCTGGGTGACAGAGTGAGACTCCATCTCAACAAAAAAATTAAAAAAAAAATTAACTTCAAATATTTTATAGAACTATAAATCCACTTTGGAACAAAGAGTATTCCAGTGAAAGAGTGATCTAAATTGTCATGACATAGAACTGATTTAAATTGTGGTTAAATTTACCAAGCTTCAAAGAAAATGATCATTTTTTTCTCATGTTGGTGGTATAATATGTGGAAACATTCCATTGACCTAAAAATAAAACAATAACAAAATCAAACAAAAACAAAAAGATTATTGTGTACTTCCTGGAGAATGCATATTTGGCAAGGATATCTATAAATACTCTTAAGTTTTAAGTAAATAATTTTTCCACCTCATAAATTCTGGATTGTGGTTATTCCCATTTTTTTATTAACTCTTTATCTAAAACTGTGTTAATTTGATGGATTATTATTATAAAAATTTCTGTACTATTTTAATTTGTATTTTTCCATTGCTTTTCTTTAAATAATCTATATTTATCTTAACATTGTGTATTAATTTGCTTATCTTTTTTATTTTTCAATACTCTCTTGGTAAAACTAGTGTGTGCGTTTACAATCTAAGCATAGAGTATTTAGAACAAGTTTATGTCTCCATAATGATTTTGCCTCCACTGTTTTCTCCTGATGATTATTTAAAAGAAATACGTTTCATTGATAAAATCTAATACTCAGTGATTATAAATGCATTGGTAATGGATTGAGTTGTATTAGTAGTATGCCAGAAATAGATTTGTTTCCTCTATTATTTAAAATAAATCTTAAAGTGTTATAAAAATAAATAAATTTTCTTAAAGCAATTTTGTTTACATATATCTGCATTTAAATGTTTCTTTATGATAAAGCATGTTACATAAAATTTAGTAAAATTTGGAGCAATTTACATTTTAGCAATTTTTTTTTTACCGCAGCACACAAATTTCCTATCCTTTAAAAAATGCAGGAAATTTGTACATAGTTATGCTTAAGCATAACATAAAAGAATTCTATAAAATAAAGATTAACAATATTTCAGATAAACCTTATAATCACACCTGGGTTCAGTACAACTAATAAAGTAATGGAACTAATAATTTGGTAATGCATGATTTTTAAAACAATTCAGAAATGTCTGATTTTATAATATGTTTTAATCTAAACATAAAATGGAAAACATTTAAAATGAACACATACACAAAAACCATATATAATAAAATGATGTACTTTAAAACTGTAGTATTTCCTCTGTTGCCTAATTTAGAAGATTCATTTATATAGTGACTGTAAGTTTTGTTTGAACTATAGAAAGCCAGGCAAAAGAGTATGTGTTAGTTTGTTCTCTTCTTAGAAAAACTAACACTCCCAGCAGTCCTACTGTGGAAATCAGCATCCATTTATCAGCTAGTCATTTCTATCAAACCAATAGTCTTATATTTATCAACTATTTTATAGAATCTGATACTTACAAATGTAGCCTGTCGAATAGTCCACCATGCTAAATTTTATCTCCTCTTTGTTATAATTCGTTTGAAATCAGGTTCTGAAATCTTATGAGACACCCAGCATTTTATTTTTCCCAGCATTAAAGGATTTTGCTGTCTCTATAATTACCTTCAATGGCACTCTGGCCTCAGTTTGAATGTCGTGTTTTTACACACAAGCATCTATGCAAAGAGAGGTTTTGTTGAATATGGAAAGTAGTGCTGTAGGACTCCAGTGTATTACTGATAAAGAGGTTTTATCTAACATTATCAGAACCTCTGAAGTGATCAGATGATTGGAAGCAGCAGCTCCATTAAATATCAAAGTAATACTCAAACTTTTTTTTCCAAAATAATATTTCTAGTTTTACAAAATGTATAAAGTAAAATTCCCTTTTTAAAAAGACAGAGAACTGAGAACAAGCACATAGGACATCACTGCAAGCACATGTTATCAAATAGTTGAGAACTATTAAAATCAATCTGTCTGTAATAGTCAGATGACTAGGGACTTTTAAAAACTGAAGGACCTAAAAAGGTTTCTTTCCTACTTATGCCTCTCTGGTTCCTTCAGCTGGTCCCCTATAGCAGTTCTGGACTCCACTGTTCTACACTTTGTTAATATGCCTTCAAAATCTGAGTTGAACACAGTGCTTGAGATGAAGTCTGATGAATAGAGAATATGGTAAGATTATGAATGTCCTTGCCTGGATCTACTCCAGTTCTCTCTGTGTGTGTGTGTGTGTGTGTGAGAGAGAGAGAGAGAGAGAGAGAGAGAAAGAGAGGGAGAGAGAGAGAGTGTGTGGGACAGAGTGGTGGGAGTGGAGAAATGCTGGAATAAAACAGCAGTAAAGAAGCTCAAAATGTGGTTGATGGAATGTTTCTTAAAATATTTAGGAGCCCAATGAGATAGAAGATTAACCTTACTTTTCTTTAATAGTTTTGAGATTCAAACTCAAGGAAATTGAATTTATCAAACCTGATGGATAAGTTTGGGACTAGAAAAGGAAAGTAAACTGTGGAAAGTTGGAAGCTGTATAGATGTGGCAATGATGTAGGAAGTAAAGGGCAGGTTTGCCGTAGTTGGGGAGGATCTGGGTTGTTTGTGGATAGCACTCATTTTCACTGGTTGCTAGTTGTGCAATTTCCTCCCCACCTCAGGACATTTGGGATGCTGGATCTCTTCAGGAAATCTTCAGTGTCGTAGTCAAGGCTTTCCCTCACCCCAAATAATTCATTTTTGGGGATTCAGGAATGTTTGCTCTTTCTTATGGTTTGGATGCAAAGAGCTGGCAGGAAGATTCTGGAAGTAACACCTTGTGCGGGTGTCAGTTTCAAAGCTTGCTTAATGGAGTCAAACATGAGAATCTCCCTACAGAGTAAAACTAAGTGTCAACAGGGACTGAGAAACAAAGAAATCATAGAGTGAAGAGTAACAGCATGAGGAGGTAGAAATTCCTGGAGGAATTCAAGAGCAAGGTTTAGATATTTGTGACAGATTTCTAAACTTTTTTTGTTTCTCTGAAAAAGGGAAGTTCAAGTTCAGTTTATGGAATCAGAGCAATATAGTGCTTTGTACGGATCCAACTAATTCAATATAATGCTTTGTACGGATCCAACTAATTCAGAGCTGTCAGGTTAGGGCAGGTAACAGGATTTTGCTTTCGTTGGTGCAGCTTGGGAATGCCCTTTCCATTGGAAGGCTGTCCTTCTGATTAACTGATCTGCTTACTCTAGAGCACTTTCACTGTATTTCAATTTCAGCCAACATAAGTCCAAATTAACACAAGTTTGAATGTGCATAATTAAAAAATATTTAATATTTTTATGTTGTAAGTTCAAAATGAACTTTGCAAGAGCAGAATAATGAAGTATTAGAAATTATAAATTCAGAATTTGCCATTTATATCTTCTACAAAGAGGCGAGAGATAGAATTGGTGGTGGCAGCTTAAGAAATAAGCCTACTATTTTCAGTGCATCCTATTTGTACTATATAGTTGTTGCCATTTGTTCAGAGGGTGGCACTTTCCAATGTATTCTAGAAGCAAGATAAACTCTAGGACACTGGGGTGAATCCTCTGGTGAAATGTGTCCAGTAGGCAGCAGTCTGTGGCAATGTTTGGAAGAAGACTGGTGTCTGCTCCTGCTTTCCATCGACTGATCTGTCCCTCTCAGCCTTTCAGCTCTGTCCTCTCAGCCTTCATTGTCTTCCATGGTTTTTCGCAGAGCAGCCTCTGTCTTCACAGATTCAGCGTCCACATTGTGGAGTGGACAACTCAGAGACTTGGCCTGTCACCTGTCCTCTCTGGCTTGTTGCCAATTAGAAACAATCTAACTTTAGCTTTTGATTTGTGTGAACACAAAATATACTGACAACAAAAATTAGAGAGTACTGAACGCTCAATATTGTGGTTAGCACAAAATAAACCTCAGTAGCAAATAAAGTTACTGATTCTGTCTGCATTTATTCAGATGACTTGCTTTAAAGATGCCTTTAATTATACTCATCATCCTGTTAGGCTATAAAGTTTAGTCACTAACTCTCAATCGTCCCGAGTTTCCTCTTGGTAGCTGCCGTAAATCCATTCTCTTGGCCCTCCCAGGAAGTCAGCGATGCTCTCCGGTTTAGGATCTCCAGCGTGTAATTGAAAACAAACAGTGGTCCTACTTGGTTTCTATTTTCTCCTGAGCACTTGGATTATCCTGTCCTTCCTGACTGAATTCTGGGGAATCCATTCAAATCTTATTGTTTCCTCCAGTGTATATAGGGTAACATTAACATAGATAGGAAAGTGTTCTTTTTCCTGGAATAAAGAATGGAGACGGTCGGCAGTTGTTTAATTTGCACTGAGATGAGTCTATCAGCAGTTTTGTACTTTCACGTTGTTTGATCTGTAAAATTCTCGAAGGATGGGGTTAAGGGCATGTCCCTTTGAAGAAGATTTGCTTTTGCTCTGTCAGACAGCCCAGGCACTTCTCCAAACCAAGGCTGCTTTGTTATTTTCTTAGCTTGGGTCTCCTGGACCACACAGGTAGGGTAAATTTAAATTATAGACCTGGTATTATGCTGAAATAGACATGTTTCCCTGTCATCACTTTTTGTAGGTGACTTGTTTTTTTCTGTCTGCTCTTTCACTAATGGTGTAGCAGTTCAGGAGCTCCTGGCTCAAGTGAGGACAGCCTTTGATTTTGTTTTCTGACTTGCAGCAACTCTTAAAAGCCAGATCTCTAGGTTGCTGAGATTAGCAAATGCCGAACTCAGCTAAACTTTAAATACTACTTTATCATGCTGATTTAGGATTCCCTGTTTTTTTTTCTTGATTTTTCTTAGTTTTTGCAAGCTTGCCTATGCATTTAAATGGGGTTATTATATGTTTTTCTAGTCTTTCTGGATGTCTGATAGAGAGATTTTCAAGATATGTCCTGTCTGCCATGCTTTAGGTATCCTTTTATATGAGATAATGTTATATACTCATTTTTAGATAAAAGTAAATACAATAAAATATCAAGGAAATTGGGACTTTAGTACTTCCTTGTTATCACAGATGGAAAGCATCATTACTTGCTTCTGTAGATGAGGTATGCTTTTAACATACAAGGCCCACTGATGTGCAGCTGCCAAGCCAAGGCCTATTTCCAATCTCCTAATCAACTCGCTTTCCTTTATTCTTTAGGTAAGCCTGTCCTGTTCTGCCACGTGCAAAGCATATAAGTTTTCTACTACAGAAGGGCAGAACAGACGTCCTTGTGCCACATTTCCTGTTTTTTTTTCCCTATCACAGAAATTAAAATGGTTTTTCTGTAGATCACTATTTAAATACTTTTTGTCTTAATCTTGAAACAAATCTATCCCCAGGACAATGGTGAATGGCGGGCCCCATCCCACCCATTCATGGAAACTTATGTGGTGTTTAGTGACTCAAGGAAGAAGATGGCTAGGTAGTGAATCAGAGGCAAGGAAAATCTGAAGAGAAATAGGTACCTCAGTAAGCTGTTAGGAGAGACCTAAAACAACATAGAGCTCAGAATTAGCCTCCTCCCTTCTTTTCCAAAGGAATCTCCTGCTTTTCTCAGTCTCGCTTCAAATGCATATGTGGACATAGCATTTAGACTGATGTAGTAGATGCTCAATAAATATTTGAAGAATGGATGGATATAGTTTTTTTCCCAACAAGGTTATCCAAACTAAAAATGACCCTTAATGTTCATTTTAACCAATTTTTACTTAGATAAAAATTATGGGGTGAAGTTTGGGAAGGATTACATTGTATAGGTTTCCCATATCTCATACTTTCCTAAGAAGTAGTTCTGCCTTTTTATCACCTATAATTTGTGTAGTGGTTAATGATATATATCTGGAAATACTTTGTAAGTATAATTTACATAAACATATATCTTTATGAGGCATGCAAATTTAAACAATGGTGTCCTTGTGACTCAGTTAAATAAGGAACTAGAATAAAATACAAGACAGGTGTTTTCTTTTAGGTTTATGACACTATATCGTAAAACCTCTGAAGGACATGATAATGCAAATAAGATTAGATAAAACAAGTTCAGTTGTAGAAAAGGCAAAGAATTAAAAAAATTGCAATCTCAGAAGCTTCAGAAACCTACTTTTATATGCTTTCCTCCATAAAAAAGTGTTTTTTCATTCCCCCTCAAGTTTGAATATTTGAGGAGTTGCTTTAAGAACTTTAAAACTAGTGCATCAAATACATGCTTTTTGCAGATAAGGAAAATACTTCCTTAAACATTTTTACATAAAGAAAAGTAATTTTGCCCAAAGAAAATAACATCCAAAGGAAAATGAAGAATGATTGGTGTTATAGGAAGCATAATCCTAGAGGCCTGGAACTGCATAGGGCGTTTTGAATGTACAGCATGTGGTCAGCAGAGATTATGCAAGTGATTTTTATAGATGAAGCTGAGCAAAGGGGCAGAATGGGAAGGAAAAGGGACCGAGACACAAGAAGAATGACTTTTGTTTGAAAATGTTCAGGGCATTAAAAACAAATACCAATTTTCCCCTAAAACATTTTCAGACACTACAGAAAATAATATGTAGTCAACCATAAAACTTATTTTAACTCTTTAAAAAACTTCCAAACAAAGGAACTTAGGAAAAATGGCTTTCTAGTTCTGTTTTCCCC